ATTTGTTTTTAGTGATTTACGGTAAGTAGTGTATATGCGTTGTTTCTTAGTCTATAGGCTAGGTCGTGGGTCATAGTCGGGCAGGAGGTTAGAATGTAGAGCCCATACGAAGCCTACCCAAGACCCTATGACACCTGGGGAAAAAAATAATACAAAAAATGAAAGGGGCTCCAATAGCTTCGATAAAAAAGGAAGATAGTCAATCGTATATCACGATACTGTTTCTAGCACTATATTTTATAAACACACATAATCCCATACTCGCAGCTCCTTTCTGAATCGCCTCCATTTGTCGGTTGTTTGTCCACTCATACCTTGTTTACACTTATTCTCTTTAACCTATTAAAATTCCCTTGCTTAACAAATACCTTAATGAAGGAGAATTAAACTGAGTAATCATACCTTAAACATTCCTTCATGAATATTGGCTACTCTGCCTCTCGTCCTTTCTTGTACTCGCTTCCTCGTTCAGCCTCCTTGAGATATGGAACGGGTGACTTCATCCTGCACCATTCTTAAAGCCTTAGATATTCCAAAGAGACATAAGGTTGCGATTTCTAGAAGCTCCCGCCTTCAATGGACCTATCCTTGACCGTCAGTTCCACATTCGCAACGCAACCTACATGAAGTGCGCTAACTGTGATACTGACTAAAACCATCTACATTCATATCTTATAAATTATCAACCCAGCTGAGAAATTTACTACATTGGATATTGTATCATTCGTATCAATTTGATCTTGCCTGTGAACTGGCATGCTTGTCAGCTGTGTAAGTGAAAGTTACACATAATATTCTTAAATTATTTTGTTGCCTGAATTCTTTCCTTCGGGTAAATCGTGTAATCTTCAGTTGCATAATTTTGAGAAGTTTTAACTCCCCGTTCAGCTCATTCCAAAGTAACCTGTTATTTTTTCTGTAGACTGAAAAAAAGGTCAGAGCTGTAATTTCGGTTGGCGATTATGAGACAATCAGTTTACGAGTACATTGAATTTGTGATACTGCTTACAAAAGCAAACATCTGAATACTTTTAAATAAGCACAGTAAAGATTTGATTTTTCTTGTCAGACAAAAATTTCTTTTATAACTTTGAGTTTAGTTATAACCCTGATGAGGTCCGTACATGTTAGCTAGACCAAGTGTTTGAATTAGTTAAATTACGATCACTGGGATTCTTTGAAATGTAATTTTTACAAATAATATATTCTCCATTCTCAGTGCTCAATTTCTGTCGATCTGTTTGTCTTAATATTGATGAATGTTCACATAAATGTGGTCCATGTTGATTGGCAGTTGGACAGCTCTTCGGATTCTCGCGCTCTTTGTCAACTAGTCAAAACAATTTTAAGGGTAGACTACGAAGCCAATTTCGTGGTCGATATTCCTAAAAAAGCTTGGCTCTTTAGCGTTTTTGACTGTGATATTCGATCCTTTTTAACCCCGTTGACAAGAGTTCAGTCGCCTGCAGAATTTTTGAGGACTACAGTTGCATTCATGTAGCCTGATCTGGGGAACACAAGTTTGTAGAGAAAGTCCAACATCATCGATTTTATGGTGGCACTGAGCTTCATCATAAACTCGTAGAATTATGGTCTGCTATGATATTAGTACTGCTCTAATAATAGACCTGATCCTAAAATTAGTAGATTTCTTATGATGTAACTGTCCAATTTATGAGATCATACGTGGAAGTCACATAATTATCTATACCAACTTACTACATCGTGAGAATCACCGATATATGATGGAGAACAAACTTGAGCTAGAGATAGAATAAAAGATTTAACATGGATAAAGACTGTGACAAGACTTAAGAGTTACCGCGCCTGCAAGTATGAGCCATGCCATTCGATCAGTACGAATTTACTCGATTCATCCTTCCCGCCTTCTCCATCGTTGGGTTTATCTCCGCATTAAATATTGAACATCAGTTTTCCAAGTTTTCCCGCGTTCAGCTTTGAGGGGTGTGTGGTTAGGACCCAATACCACTACAACCTCACTAGTAGTGATGCGTGTTTAATCGATACTATTATTGTCAAAGGCGCCCTTCTTTACTTCACTGCGCGTCTTTACTGGTATACTCGTCTGAGGACTGTTTTTTTTACACTTACTGACGATTTTTTCGCAAACTTGTCAGTGGAATTATGGTATTGGTCAGAAAATCTTTAGCTTTCACATTGCAAGTGCCACTTACCCGTCTGCGACTTGACTTACTGCGTCTATTGTAAGCATTCATTGTTTAAACGCCGTGAAAAGAACCACTGCGTTTGTCGCACTGCATACCACCAGAGACTGAAATACTGCATTCATATCTTTTGCACGTGCTCTTCATGATCATGTTGAAATATGACTTGCTCGATAGGTACTAGCAAAAGTTTGTGGCCGTGAGAAAACAAAATGCTCAGACTAGATAAAACGGATAAAATGTTTAGGTATACTAAAATTAAACTCGAAGTGGAAAACTGTACAAACAAAACGGTACGTTGTGGCTTTCTCCAATCACGCTACGTTGCACTCAATGCTGTCACATAATGCCCCTACTGGCTGGACCCAAAACACAACATTCAGAATAACTCGTTGCTAAAACTCTTGATTTCGGTATCTCAGAATGATTGGCTGTTATTTTTCTTGTAGTGAACTACATGGTTCAGTATTTTAAGGTTAGGAGACGGAGTGGAGAGGTTTTAGGGTTAGTTGTTAGACTTAAAAAATTGGGACCATAAGTCATGGTCCATCTTGGCAACAGTAATGATCTGAAGACTAAAAAACCAGTACTTATAACTAACAAGGTCACCCGTAGTTTTCAGCAGTTTTCTGTTTTTTATATCTTTTATATCTGAAGTACGGAGGCTCCATATAGATTCGCCATTTCTGATCACTCACTATCAAGGTTGTCCTTCGAATCCCGAAGGGATAGTGTAGTTTCCACAAATTGTCTTCTCATAAAAAACCTAATGAAGGCACAAATAACAGTAATCATCTTCTTTATCACTACAGAGTTTCTGTTTGCAGTAAAAACAATCCGGTTGTCCTCAAAGTACACACAGTGCCGTCATATGCAGTAACCACTTAAATAGGTTTGGCATTGCTCGTTCATGCTGGCATTGTCCTCCATAAAATGTCCTTTTTCATATTAAATATTCCATTTTGCCCCAAATACAAATGTGTCATTCGAAAGGCCTAAACAGCATGTTGCTGACATCACGATAGGAAGAGTCAATATAGAAAACGATATGATCTCCACGCAAAATCTCGCTAACTACATTATATCGTACATGATATGTGCTACAACCAGAACAACAACTCTATACATGTTAGCTGAAAGAATGAAAAAGAACACGATCGGATAAAAACGAGTAGTGCCAAGGTAGATGTGAAATCCCCCTAAAATTTTCGATGTGACGAAATAAGGCCTGACTGGACCTTTCCAGCCTCCTAGATTCGTCGCAATAACCAATGTCAGAAACAATATCTAATTGATGAGAAGCTAATGATTGTGGACAGTTCCTCACTTCCTCGATAATGAAACTAACGAAAAATTGTATTTCACCCCAAATGGTAAGATAAACCTTATGCGACAAAAACTGAGTACAGAGAGCATTAATAACCACGGGAAAACATACACTGAGAATAAAGACTTTTGAATTCCGCAATGTTTTCCTGATTAGGAAGTAAATAAATCCATCCGAACAAAACATGTTCTCTTGTACAGAGCCTCAAATAGATAGTTCATCACATGTATTTTACAGCAGTCTTTCCTCCGTCAGATCATTTACGAGATTCAATAGCTTAGACCTAAGAAGACGCTAATTTAGAAAGAACCTGAAGGAGCTGATATGAAAATACATGCATGAAGTTTCGTGATTGGAGTCTGTAAGCTCCGAAGTTCTTCACTAGAAGCAATACTGACAGTACTTCTTAGTAGGTCCTTCAAAAGAATGGTTCAACGTTTACGTGGGATCAGTAGGTGATGAAGGGGGATGTACCAGATTTTGCACATCGATCACTTCCTAAATTAGTAGTCAATGTCAACCAGGCTGATATCCTCACGGATGTATATTCTGCATCAAATCAAATTGCGTGAGTTTGTCTTGTTAGTTTCCTCTCTCTTCAGGTAAACTTAAAGAAGCGGCTTTTCTGATTTTTTTCAGAATGTACCTTTTGTCCTTTTCTATAAAGCCCACAGATGCTCATTCCTGAAACTGTTTCCAGGAGAAAAGTGCTTAATAAAGACTTAATGTGGCTGAAGTCGTGCCTAAATGAAGTCTTTGGTTCCTTTTCAGAAGATTCTCTTAACTTAGTATTTCTTCTCTCACTCCAAAAAGATAAAGCTACTCTGGAGCGTATCGAACGACGAGCAGCAAAATCAGTTCGGAGACTGAAATTCAAGCCTTATGAAGGGCGTCTCGAATCACTAGACCCTTTCCCATTAGAGTACAGGCGTCTTAAAAGTCACCTTCTAATGGCTTACAGCATCTTACATACTTCTGGATATCCTTTTAAACACCTATTAAGTTCGCTTAAAACACAAACATAAGTGGTAAAACCCAGAAACTGGAGACAACAAAACAGAACGGACTGTAGACACAACTTTTACCCCTTGAGAGCTGTCAAATGTAGGAATTCGCTGCCGGCAGTCCTAGTCCAACTGGCATCCCAGGAGTCCTTTGAGAGGAAACTTGATCTATTGTTAAGAACTAAGGATGGTATCTTACTATGATTTATCTTTTTGATTGTTTTCTTTTGTCGGTGATATACCCAGGTTGCTGTCTGGAGGTATTGATGATCCACGGCTGCTAGACACAGAAGCCTTTTAAGCGAAAGCTTCAATTCCGTCCAAAACCATTTGTCCTTCCTGAACAACGCAGGTGAAACGACAAAAATTACGAAGTAAAGATAGTTACACTGCTTAAGAAATTTCTTGTATCAATGAATTTATAAAAACGAGTGGATAATGATTACGTATTGAGCTTGTTTTAATCTACGATATTAAGGTTACTAGCTACGGTGTCTTTTCAACCTTATTTACTGCAACGTTGATATGGCAGTTTAGAATTCTCACACTGTCTGCCTCTAATTTCTTTTTCCAGATTTTATAAACTCAAGACATTCGTTATCGCTGTTCATTGTGCACTATCTTTTTAATTAAATTTGGGTGGATAGTGTGCGCCTGCTGGGTCGCAAGCTCATTTTTTCTTTGTTTTCTTTTTCGAGAAAGAGCTGATCAGCTCCCTTAACTCACACTACTTTGCATACAATGCCAGCACACAAAGCAGCTACTGGCTGAACTCAAACTACTACATTTGGCAATAGTTGTATTTAAAAGATGTTCGATCCAACAATTACTGATTGATTAGTTTGACCAGTTCATATAGTCGGTCGATCACAACTACTCGATGGTTCTTCAATCTGGTAATTTATTCGAATCTTATCGAAGGATTTACTTTTGCAAGAATTCCAGCCACTCGTTTGAGCGTCACATTTGTAGGGTAGTAATGCAACCGTTAGATGAAACGGACAACGTAAAAGTAGCCGTGCGGTGCCGGCCAATGGATAAAAAAGAAATAGCAATGAACTGCCAGTCTGTGATTTCGGTATTTTTTTCGTTCGTGTAAAATTATGTCATATTTTAGGTGAGTGAATTGGATGGATGTGTAATATTAAAGCGCACGAGTTCATGTGATGACCCTCCGAAACAATTTACTTTCGACCTTGTTTTCGGTTGTGGAAGTAAACAAACTGATATTTACAACATGGTAGCGAGACCAATTGTTGATAAAGTTTTAGAAGGATATAATGGTACTTATTCAAATATTAGTCATTAGATTTATTTTTGACATCTAAAGGAACTATATTTGCTTATGGACAAACAGGTACTGGAAAAACATTTACAATGGAAGGGATCAGGTCCGAACCAGAACTGAGAGGTATTATTCCAAATTCATTTGCCCATATATTTGGGGCAATCGCAAAAGCTGATGCGAATACGAGATTTCTGGTTCGTGTTTCATATCTGGAGATATATAATGAAGAGGTACTGTACATTTTTCATATCCAACTCCTTCAATTTTTTCAATTACTGTATCTTTTATTTTAACAGTAAATAAATGATTGTTTTTGTTTCATTATCTAATATTAAGTGTTAACTTTACGTGGCATTGTTCTGTAAATTTTATGGTCAGGCTTTGATGTTTTGTGTTCAAGAGCATATTTTAAATACTATATCAGTTATTTTGTTGAAACCTTCCATGGCATTTGAATGTTTCGTGAATAATTTGTTCTTCAGTAATACACAGTAATTTGGTTGGTGTGCATTATACTTTTCGTGTTTTATTTTCGTAAAACTCTTACTTTGGTTAAACTCCTACTGGTTAAACTGATACTTTATGTTTACATTGAACGTTCCACTCTCATACCAATTTATGGGAGTGTCGAAACCAAGCCTCCGTTTGTGCGACCGTAGTGTTTAGATCTTAGTGTGATACCTTGAGAAATGGTTTTATTACAAAATAAGTAGAAAGATATCCCGTGCTAGGTCCTAAGTCAATAACCATGATATGAAACTGTAAAGTGAGATCTCGTTCTATGAACGGATGAGAGAAATAGCTATTTTAGTTAATTCTATTATTAGTTGTTAAACTTTTCTGTCCGCAACCAAGTATTTACCTGTAAAGATGACACAGTTATTCGAAGTTTGACAGCGTCTTTAAACATAACACCAACCCAGTCAAATCAGAGGTTAGAAATGAAGGGGTTCAAAGATATTTTTAGAAGGCTATTGATAGGTTGAGAATCGTTTGATGTCAGCTGACCAATAGTTACAAGGGATGTGTAGTGCGATGTGCCCACTTGAGATCTGGTGCGGATGCGTGGCCAGGCACCTTCTGCTAGGTGTCTCCAGTAAAACCAGTGAGGTCAGCATCAATGTCAAAAACGTAGGAACTATTTATTTTAGACATTTATTTATCGCTACGCTGGTTTGATAGCCACAAGAGTACTAGCAACTTTAGTGAAACAGGCCGCATGATCGGATGAAATTTTACGCATTTTTACTTAGGGAGAATACCCTAGAATGTTATAAAAGCATGCAGAATATTGTAACAGTTGTTGAATTGTATTGCATGTTCATTTTGAAGTCAATGTCTACAACTTTTGTTGAACCCTTTTGTTCAAGAACTTTTGTCAATGTGGTCACATCGATGACGTACTGGTGAATGTCGCTTTAACTAATGCCCATTAATGGACGACTGCTAGAACTAATTTTTAAGCACCAACCTTTGAATCATCTGATTAACTGATCTACATCAACTTTGAGCTCAATCTTAAAACTACGTATTGTTTTGTACGTTTATAGACTATTCACAAACAAGATTGGAGAATATTTACTTAGGAATAACAGTTTATTGACGTAAGTAATACCAAGAGTACTAAGATTATACCTCTCTGGGATCTACTTCTTACGGGTTTTTGTCCAACTACCATCCCATATACTCTCACTCTCTACATTCCACGAAAGATAATGTTTCTAAATCAATTCTTCACCTTGAATTTAAGAGATTTCTCCGTAAGCCCTACATTACAAACGCTCCATCAAATCCTTTACGGAAGTTTGTGAATGTTATCAGTAAAAAGGCAAATAAATATAGTCACCACCCAGCCCCCTCTCACAATAAGAACGTTTGTCAGGCCAAAATGGCCATTAGTAGGACCATTTTGCGCTTCTATCGGCAAATTTTGTTACTCTATGTTACAATTGAGCCTAGTCTGGACTAGTTTTTTAAGATCAATGCTACTATACGAGTTGAGCTGACAGATCGATAGTCACAATTGGAATGTCCATTTCCATCCTTGAAAATATGGCTAATTAGAATATCATTTTAGTATTTCAGTAGAAACGAAACAAATAATTTCAGAAGTAATTCAAAAGTGTTTGTGAGGAACACAGCGCCCGGATGTTATTCACAAGTCTACTGTTATATGCACTCCACATTAAGCAAGGCCACATGGTAGGCAATATGTATATATATATATATATATATATATATATAATATTATGATTTCGGTAACCAAGCTTTCTTTACAATCTCCCTTGTTTTAGTTGAGCAGATTCAGCAACAACAGCGTGACTGATGTGCACCAGATAACATTAACAGTTGTAATTGCTTACAACATGACGTTTTTCATCTACTGGTTGATATTTTTACTGTTCTTAAGACTTATTTCGGCGTTATTTATATATTAGGCACTAGGAAACGTAAACTAAAAGCGAACAAATATGGTATTTTAGAAAATATTGTATGGCTATGTATTTCAATAGAAACCCTTAAGCTTTTGCTTATTTATAAAATGTTCATTTCTTCTATACTTTAAGAACAGTATTTTTTTTCTATCTCTGTCCATTGTTCCTCGTTACAGGTTTCTCCAGAAATTCTTTGTTAATTGAAGTGTTATTTAGAGCTTCCGATTTTTCTTTATCTGAATCTTCTCATCATATAGATTTTATCAAGAATTTCCAATTAATAACTTATACTAAAAAGATTCGAAATTAAGTAAAATTTTGTGGTGCTGTCTATTTTTCTTTGGTAAACTTCTAATTACCGATCACGCATTTACATATCAAGAAGATCACTTTCCTTTTTCTTCTTCATCAGAGATTTACTTTATAGCTGAGACGGTTTTACTGAATTTTCTGCAGACCTCAAGCTTATTTGCTTTGTCTTCTATTACAACAAACGTGTTTTGTCTTCTTCTACGTTGAGAATAAAGCTTTCAAGTTATTTAACCAATTAACTACCTGTTGATTAAACTGGAAAATATCGAATATAATGAAAAATTATGGTCAAGTGATTTCATCGCTACCTCTTGTTTATAGATTTATTCATTAATTTAGAACATCATAATCGTTAAGCAGTTTAGTAACTGTTCACTCAAAACGTATCGAAAAGTCTATTCATCCATAGCTTCCACTGATATATTTTTTTGTATATGTAGCTACTGGTATTAATAAAAAAACGCAATTTGATTGAAACACCATAAATTGTTATTTTTTGTGATACTGATATCTGTGATTTGTTGAATTGTAAACCAATTAGCAAAGTTATGATAAAAAGTACTTAAAGTGGCAACTAATATAAAATCATAATCTCATTTACATCTTGAAATGATTTTACCGACACTACCAGTTTTGACAAGACAAGAATTTCCTCAGGCGCACTGAATAATCAAATCTAGATTTCAGTACTAAACTGTCGAAATAAATACTTTATTTATAAAATTATATATAATACTAGTCTTTATTTACTCCATAGGTTAGAGATCTTCTTGGAAAAGATCAATTTGCACGTTTGGATGTTAAGGAGAGACCAGATATTGGTGTGTATGTTAAAAATCTATCTTCGTTTGTTGTACACTCCCCAAATGAAATGGATAAATTGATGTCATTTGGAAACAAAAATCGTAAGATTTTATCACAATTTTATTAAAAGTATGATTAATCAGGACATTTAATTTCCTGATGGGAAATTTTACTGCTATACAATATATATAAGAAAAGATGGATGATGGCTAGCACTGGAATCCAGGACGCACATTTCGTCCCACTTCGGATTCAACGGCCGAATGTACCTGCATCACAGAGTTGATGTTCACTCCAAGACTCGAACCCATTATCCCATCGTGTTATCCACTTAGCTACTGAGTCTAGATAGTCACTCGCTTGTGCAATGAGATGAAGCTTAATTCATTCGTGCATTGGTTGTTTGAATCTTCCTACTGATGTTTAGGACTGTAATTGATCAGTCTCTTATTGACATATGTGCATCCTGTGCGGATTACCTCAATAATGTCTTAAGTCACAAGCATTACAAACAAATATGCTTGTAACTTAAAGCAATAATCGAGAAAATACGCACATGATGCACATATGTCAATTAGAGACTTATCAATCGCAGTCCAAAACATCATTGGGAAGATCCAAACAAACAATGCAAATGAATAAATCATATATATCTAATAAAATACGTTTAAACAACCATGGTCAATTTGTTTACCAATCTTTTTTTATCAGACTTACTTATATATTATTGAACCATTGGGTAATTAGTGTTGAAGTTAAAAAGAAGTTTACAGTGGATAAAAACTAATCAAGAAAATTAACAGCATAAATCAACTGTCTGTTTGAGCACATTATATTGAAATAAATAAGAACAGATTGAGACGGGCAAATCATAAAGATGATTCTATCGCTTTCTAAATCCTGTTTCAGAATATGTTCATCTATGCGAACCAACTTCTATTTCATAACCTTGTTATTGTCTTATGTACAAGTTTCATATCGCGGCCGGGAAATTTACGAAATATTTCACATGTCGTTCAATATTCCAAATAGTTGGTTGGAGGCAGAAGTATATGACTGTAACTTTGTTGAATAAACTAGACGTCTAATATAAATCAAACTCACCGAATTATTGTCGATAACTCGACATTTTAAATCATGCTCATAATCTTGAAATTATTCATTTTGTTTTTTATTGTATACTCATTAAACAACTTGATCTATAAAATTTTTACCGAAAATTTTTTCAGCGGTAGACTTTATGAAAATGAGACATGTTTATGACAATTCGCAAATAAGCTAAAAAAAACCCAGTTCTTTCTAAGTATTCACGGGTCAGACAAATAATATAATGCCTGAATGCAGCAAAAGATATCGGTATGGTTATACAAACTTATTCGTTAAACACTGGAATTCAAGCGATGTGCTCCAGTTTATTTGACATCCCTAACGCCTTCAATTATCTTGACATTATGTAACTTTACGTGACGTGTTTAATTCTGCCCCATTCATCAGATAAAACACATTATACTGGAGTTTTTCAGCCTTATTTGGTTTACTGAATTCCTAATTATATTACTTTTGTTTGTTGCTTTCTAAAGGTGTAACTGGTGCAACTAATATGAACGAGCATAGTTCACGTTCACATGCAATTTATACAATAACGATTGAATGTAGCGAACATTCGGAGAAGAATAAAACATTACTTCGTCAAGGGAAACTACACTTAGTTGATTTGGCTGTAAGTAGAGTTTTAAAGAGCTTAATTTAACTTCTGACAATAAACTGGTTATATACACAGATAATGTTTTGGTGTACAACAATAAACAATCAAATCAATTTGGAAATCCCCACAGCTGTGAGTATCACTACAGTTGAAATTTATGGAAAATTCTTCTCAAACTTATCCTTTATCAATTACGAAATAGGGTCACTCTTGAAATAATTAGTAGGAATAATATTTCTTTGTAACAGGTGATTAATGAATCCCAAATAAGCGGCCACTGTATTTCTACCTAGTAAGTACCTTAAGAAAACATGGTGTTCTGATTAATATCCATAGATTACGAAACTTAAAAAGAATGGTATTTTTGTATCTATTCTCGTCATAGAAAATGAAATACATGTAATAACTTCCTGTTTCATCTGTTTGAAGAGCTGTACTTTACCTAGTCAGTAAACAGCGACCAAAGATAGTGGATACATCGCTCTCATGCATAAATCCTACCTAAATTACATGTTAATACCCATATTATTCATTAACTTTTACTATTTCATAAAGAATTGTCTGTTGCAATCTAGGAACACAATGTTACTAATATTTGATGATGTTAACATTTGCGTAATCGATGAGATTTCTTGAATATAGCAAGTAAATTATTACAATCTATTGTGTCCTTAGCTTGTACAATTATCGTGAAATGCGATTACCAATTTAAATACGCTGACTTATACGACCAAATTAATGACGCATACACCAGTACAGGTAGCCTAGAGTTCTAATTGGTTATTTTTCCAGCTAGCCCTGCCGGTTAAGTCCAGAACGCCCATCTCAGCCTCCACGATATTAATCATATATTTCAGACATACTCGATTTACATACAAGCAAAATCAGACCACATCACACCATAAAATGGAAAATAACATTTGTACAAGATCAAACCAAAAGTGATTGTGACTATGAGAAACCGTGACTAATAGACTGACAATAACTTGAGAGTAGTAAATCATATGCATTAAACAGTGGGTCAATTAAGAGCTTATAATAAGAGGAATATAAATATATATAGTTTAGTTACTTAAAAATTATACACTAAGAATATATGTATAGTACCAGTCCATAAGTAGATCTCAACAGTTACCATCCATTATTCTCGTCTGTTATTGTTTGGATATGTACAGAGATCTGTTGTTTGGATGACTAGACATAGCTTACGGTTAATTTAGTTATGAACTACTGCCAAATCAATCCTTTCCTCTTTCCACATTACCTAATAGTGTAGATAAATTGGCATTAAGCAATGCCATCATTTTATAAAAATTATTTCATACTATATTGAGGTAAGACTACTGTGAGTTTAATGACAAAATGTATCGACCATAAAGCTAAGCAACTTTACGTTCCAAGAACGTTGAAAAAGATGTCAATTCTGAAATTCTTCAGCATAAATGTTTTAAGTGAAAACAAATGATATATTTGCGAAGACTGATTGAAGTATGTTAGTTCCGCAAGTACTTCAAAACAATGGTTCAGTCAATATATTTATGTATATGAATCTCAAATTTCATTGTATATAATAATCGATTAAATGTACCTCACCAGTTTGCTAGGAAACTAATTTTTTATAGACAATCATAATGATTACCACTATTATTATCATAATTACTATCACTATTATTATTACTGTCACGATTATTATTATTATTATTATTATTATTATTATTATTATTATTATTATTATTATTAAAACAACCTTACTCTTTAAACATACATTCTAACTCTTTGTATACAACATTTTAGGGATCTGAAAGACAAGCAAAAACTGGTGCAACTGGAAAACGTTTACAGGAGGCGAATAAGATAAATTTATCGTTAACTACATTGGGTAATGTGATTTCTGCATTGGTCGATGGTAAATCAACACACATACCATACCGTAATTCCAAATTAACCCGACTATTACAAGATTCACTAGGTGGAAATTCTAAAACTGCTATGGTAAAATCATTTGTAAAATATATTTACTCTTTATCTGTATTCATTCATTTTTACTTGAGTCAATAATAAGTATCAAAATATTAAAATGGTTTTAGTGACAGTAGTTTTTGAAATCGTTGTTAAGATGAATTCGTTCGTTTATGTCGTGGAGTTATATAGAGGTTTTAATTCTGTTCATGAAAATCTGTCTGCAAACATACCAGAAAAGTAAACACATGTCTTAACAAACACACAAATTCACTTAATATTCGGTGTCTGAAACAATTTTGATGAGGGTGGTGCTAATAAATGTTAAAACTTTTGTGATTAATTTAATTAGACCAATGTAATATAACTAAATCAGGAGATTTGTAGTATAACTCCATGGTAATATTAAACAATACCTATCCAATTCTAGATAAATTTTGACACAATATCACATAATTTATAATTGTCGAGCTGAATTATTAAGATGACTAAATATATATGCAGAATGAAGACCTTTTTGAATATGCAGATCACTTTTTTCGAAACAATTTAATTCAAAGTGATATATTGCTATAATTAAACCCAAGAAATTCTGGGATCTGGACAAGCACACTGCATTTAGACTATTGAGCTGGAATCAACTGTGTTATACACCTATCATCCAGTAGCCTGCTGTCGAACCTAATCGATTAACAGCTCCTCACTAGAACTTCACTTCGAAACTTGTTAGATCCCGATAAGCATAATGAATGGTAACTTTGGGATCCTCTTATGGACCAATACTAAACGTATAATTTTATCGTATAATTGTTAAATAACTAAATTATTCATATTCATATTCCTCTTATTATAAACTTTATTTTGATCTATGAACTATTATTATACTTGTTACCATTCTTGAATCATGTCCTGTCTATTAGTTACTGCATCCCACATTCACAGCCACATTTGGCCAGATTTTGTACAAACGTTATTTTCTATTTTATGGTACGTTATGGCCTGTTTGATTGGTATATAAACTCAGTATGTTTGAAATACATGATTCATATTGCAGAGGCTGAGATTAGTGTTCTGGACTCAACTTGGCTGGGCTAAGTGGGAAGCAGGACCAATCAGATCTCTAGGCTGCTCGCACGTGTTTTACGTGTCCTTGGTCCGATCGATAATTCACTGCTCTCTGATTGTCGGTATTATCACGTTATACATTAACAAGGCACGCAGTCCACAAGTTATAGTCATTCAAAACTATTTGATTATTACTCAGAAGTCTTATATTATTACAGTACTTCCAAAGTAACTATCTATTTCCATAAGATAAATATTTGCAATTATTAATGCAATAATATCATTCGACACCTTTTCTCGACAATTTTAAACTGCAGATAGCAAACATATCACCAGCCGATTATAATTTTGATGAATCATTGAGTACATTAAGATATGCGAATCGGGCAAAAAATATAAAGAATAAAGCGAAGATAAATGAAGATCCAAAAGATGCAATGCTACGTCAATTCCAAAAAGAAATTGAACAACTCCGTAAACAGTTGGAAGAAGGTAAATAAAAAGAAAGATTTACAAATAGAGAAACACAACTTTTCCCCCTCATAATAATCCATGAACATCTAATTAATCCTTAAACATATTATCATCCCAAAATTTTTGTTGTTCACACCTGAAATATCACTTCGTTGTGTAACGTTGTTCTAAATATAAACCTTCAATAAAGTAAGCGGTAAATTTCTTAAATAGAAAAGTACTTGAATAACGGTCATAGAGGACTATGACTTGGGAAACGAAGTAAAATAACGGTTCGTACATTGAATAAAGTCTTTGACTAATAAGTTTAGATTTAGTGTATTTCTCAGAAACTTCAATAAAATATCAATGGATATGTTCGTAATTAGAAATGTGTCTTACCACTACAATATTCAAATAACATGAGCATCACTTAGTAAAGTGTTCACTTGTGGTTGTATTTCTCTAATGTATCGTACATATAAGAGTTCGACTTGCTGTTAGAAGCAACTCAATTATAAATTTGCTCTTGTGATTAGTACTTCCCACCAACCTATGCTTATAAATAACCTTACATTCTCTGGATTTTCCCATGGGAGCTAATTATCATGCAACACAGATTGTTTTGTTACAAAACCTGTTAACGAAACACGTTATTCATTCAGCTTATACCAACCCTTCCCTAATCAAGCAATTAAAAACAACCACGTATTATAAGTTGGTGGCAATCTATTCAATTAATAAACGAAAATTCAAAGCTACGCCATCATTTTAAAGCTCTAAACTGAATTCAAGAAGTTTGTATAAGTATATCAAAGGCTGATGCAGTGAAATAAAGATTTTAACTTATTATGTAATCCAAGTATATAATCCTATTCTAATAAGAAGTTAGAAAAGAAGTATGTTGATGTTTTTCCCATTTTTACAAAAATAACATGCTTCTCAAGGTGGCATACCTTCAGACCCAAAAAATGCGGAAGAACAAGATAGTGATGATGACGATAATAATAATAATAATAATGAAAATGGTACGATCGATCACAATGATCGAGAAAACAGATTGAAGAAATCAAAAGGAAATACAGTAAAACTGAGTAAACAAAAAATGGCTGAAATTCAGCGTATGATTGAAGCTGACAGACGTAAGTTAGAAGAAGAGAAAGATATGGCTATAGAGGAACGAAACCGTATTCAGGTAAATTAACAAGATCTCTGTCTTTCAGATGACCTTTAATCATTTTTTGAATACATTTATGATATTTTTGTGTTTATTCATACTAGGGTAGGTTGTGAATATGAAACCGTAGTAATTTATTCAAGATCACAAATATGTCTAACAAGTCCAAATACACACGAAACCTATGTCTAAGATTTATTTCTGTTTTCTTCCCATTACCTAACATATCAAGTACGGTGTACTGTGATGTCAAGTCACTTAGACTGGTAGTCACATTGCAACGGAATCGACAGAATTCTATTAGTATCATGGATCATACAACCTAAAAATCTTTAATGCTATATGATCGATTGGTACAAAAGTACAAGACTTTGTCTTGGATAAACAAATGATTTCAAACATAATAAAAATTACTCTACGTAAAATTACAAAGACATTTTTCTACTTGAAGTATTGCAAAACCATAAATGCCTAAACTAGTCGAGTTTCATCTTCGTCATAAATAACCAGACATTTAATAAGATAAAAAACGTCCAAAGATTTGAGAAAATGAACCTCTTACTTTACGTCGATAACGTAGATCATAGTTCATTCAAAACACAACCGAAAAAGCACCACAACCTATTCCGCTGTGTGACTAAAGAAATAGATTTATATAAAAATAATATTTCACTCTAATGTGATATAACATGCATTATTTGATCTGGTTAAACACATTTATAGGAAACATTACTAATAACAGTGAATTAAGGTAAATCAGTTGTATTTACATTAGAATCACTGAAACTTGCATTCAGCAATCATTGGCAAATTAAATCGTAATTGTTAATTTGTCAGCATGTTTGAAGACTTTGTGAATTAATGATAGGTCATTGTCAACCCTGCAAAAGAAAACAAATTTTATTAATTAAAACGACATAAAGTGCTACTCAATGAGAAATCATATTAAGCCAGCTAATCGATTTTATTAGGTAGTTATTTTGTCCCAGTAAAGGACTTCTCAGCAATAAACATGTTACCCCAGGACCTTCAGAATTATTAGTGAGCAGCATTACCTTCGGACCACTAAGTCAGGACCCGGTGGTCTACAGTTCATACCTCGTTTAATTCGTGATACCAGGCTATCGCTGACATCCATTTAAACTCTGATGAGGTTGTACTCGACTAGTCACGAGTTACCAAAAAAACAGAAAAGTATAAGACTTTTCAAGTTATAACTTTTGTTTCAAGAAAAGGGAACTATGGAATTGTTAAGACTTGAGAATTCCAAATTGATATCACCTACCATATTGCTAGTCGGACCAGTGACCAATTTTACGAATCTACACGACCAATGAACGACAACCAAAGCCTTAGCGCTTATTGGTCATCGAACCCCTTTCTAACCCAGGGCCAATCAGAAGACGATGATCATGACTCAGAACTCACGTAATAATATGCTGAGAATTCCTAATCATGCAGCACTCCATATAAGAAATTCCCATAAGTGGTAGAAGAAAATATTACATAATCAATCGGCAATAATTAAGGAACGGTAAAGTATCTAACAACAGTCAAAAGGTCCACTGAACGTTTACAATAAGGAAAACATAGAAATGTAACAATATATTTATCTACTAATAATGCAACAAAGATATAATTGGTAACAATCCAGGAAATAGCTAAGAGATTTTCAACTTTCCCAATATTCGTTCTGTTATAACAAAGAAAAACAATTTCTTCCATTTCATAAATTAAAATTAATTCAAACACATCGAATATTCATACTTCTATTGTTAAATAATCACAGAAACATCTTGAGACCAAAGAAAACGAATTAAGACAAGTTGAAGCAACTCGTAATAATCTAACAAAACGTATGGAAGCATTACAAAGTCGTATAATTGTTGGAGGTGAAAATTTATTAGAAAAAGCTGAAATACAAGAAAAATTATTAGAAAAATCAGCGACTGAATTACAAAAACAACAATTACGTGCGGAACAATTACATCAAAAATTAAAAGAAAAAGAGGAAGAACGTATCAATATTGAAGAAAAATATAATAATCTACAGGTAATTTGTTCGATGATATTTACCTTGAAAATTTTAATGTATGATTACTGGTTTCTTTCATTTGTAAACTTTACTAGTTTCATTTAATAAAAATAATAAACAGATTCGAAGTAAGTGACCTGTAATAAATAATATGTATCTGCAAATATCCCGAAGAACAGAAATGATTCAAATAGTTGTCAAATGATGTTATTTTTGGTGGATTGCTCAAGTTGTTAGGACAGTAAATAATTTTTTTCTATCGAACATATTAGAAATCAAGATTGTATTTGTTGGAATATTCAGAAAAATATGCCCAAAATTATTCTGTTAGGTCTAACGCTATCCTTGGACTTGAAATGGTATTATTTTCTTATTGGTCAATATTTATTTCAAGTGTCGTTTTCCTACTGGTCAATATTGTACAATGTTATTTTCTATTTTATGGTACGATGTGGTCTGCTTGATTGGTATATAAACAGAGTATGTTCGAAATATAACGTTTCATATCTCAGGGGCTGAGACTTGCGTTCTGGACTCAACTGGCTGGCCTAGACAGGGAAACGGGACCAGTCAGAACTCTAGGCCGTTCTTACGTGTTTACGCGTCTTTGGTCCGATCGATAATACGCTGCTCCATAATCTGCAGTTCACAGTTACAACAGTATTAAATGCGTTAGCTATTGACCCTTCTTCCTTTATAGTTTAAAAAGTCCTTTTAGCTTATTTAGTTTTCTTGTCAAAAATGCATTTTTTTTCTACTTATTAGAACATTTCGAATCTAAATGTATATCATTCTTGTCATAAGTAATCTATCTAATTTTAATTTGTATATATTGGTTGCTTGGATCTTCCCATTGATGTTTAGAATCACAATTGATAAGTCTCTTTTGGCATATATGCATCCAGTTGACCAGTCCCAAATAAAATGAAATGCGCGTCATGGATTCCACTGCTAGCCACCATTCATCTCTGATTAAAATCTACCTACCTAATTATCAAAACAAATCCTAATAGTGATATTTAAATACATAATCTCTTGCTTCAACCTGATTGTATACGGAGCTTCGGTAGATATGCAGAACATAGCATGCTAAATAATACTTTTACAAATAATTCTGAGGATAAAAAACAAAACTGATTAGTAAATTATAATGTTTTGAATTATTTGAGTTATAGCACGAACTAAGAGTCCCAGAAATAACGCAATTGAATTAAGAATTGAGACACAAGCACAAACGAATGTATTGTATTTGGAATTCGAAATCGAGCATTCCACAACTACAAAGATATCATTAGTCCATTCAAACACCACATCCGCCACAGCTTAAATAGAAGTATAAGTGTTTGTAATCGGTTGTACGTGTTCTTGTTAAGTTCATCCTGAGTCTGTCCGACATTGTATAAGATAAAAACTTTGTAGTATCTAGCAAGTGCTCATTAGTATTGGAATTAACAAACGAAATCGGAACAGACTCACCTGGAATTGTATATAACCAGCATGTCGGTTTTGTAATGAAATTATTAATATCTAGAATTCGAACCATAGATTTTTCAACAATATCCTCCCCCACGACATAATGTTGGATCTTTATATCCCCAAGTTATGAATAATATGGCTCCATTTAAAACATATTTCCCACATTGTTTAGAGTAAACATTAGAACTGTTTTTGTGATAAGGGTAAACAGCAGTTGATATGAAATCATCCGAAATGTAATCAAAATCGAGGTCACTTAGTACTCGTGCTTCGCATTGAACAGGTTTTTCACAAGGATCAAATGCATTATGAGGAGAGGTAATATATGATATGACATCAGGATTTGATTCTTCTGAAATATTCTTATGAAATTCACTAGGACTGTCATTGCAGAGCATAGGATCGTTAAAAAATCAGCATCTATCCAAACCACATCAGGTTTTTGATCATGATTAGGTTCATTTAACATATTTCCCTCAGAATTGTAAGTAATTTCATTAGAAATATGTGAATCATCAGAAAAGTCTTACCTGGTACAATAGCATGAGAATTCTGATAAATTCGTTGATTAGGAACTGTTGTCTCACAAGAATTCTGGATTTCATCTAACTGTGAACTGCCATATGACTCTACACTGTCATTTGAAATCGTTGATAAAGATAAATGTTCATCATGAATACTCGACTCAGTAGAATCAGAATTACAAGACTTGATATTAGTTGCAGTAAGGTGAACGTTAGCATTACAAACTGACAGAACTTGTCCAATATCACGACATTTGAAGCACTTAGAATTACGAAATTGACATGAATTAGAAGAGTGGAGTTTGCAACAGGACAAACACTGACCAAACTTTTCCCCATCCTCGTGAACTGCATCGCAACTCCTCAATGAACTATCTGCATAACCTTGAGTATGCACTGGGTCAGGATGACGTAGTAATGTAGTGGTGTTCTTTATATCCTCATGAATCATTTTATGAGACCTTCCTCCTTTATGAAGTACGATAATGAACGAGGGAAAAAATATATATCCAAGAAAAAAGTCACAATGTTTAAAACAATAAAAAAAAATAAGGCAATGTTATATAGAAAAAATCCCAAAAAGGAACAGACTCACAGTTGCAATTAGGTGTACCAGATCACGTCGGTCTCACCAATGAAGGATGACACAGGTATTCAGTGTTTGACAACGCTTCTACCAGTAACACCTTCTACTATGATTTGTACCCACCGAGAGAAATCAAAAGACAGAGTCGAGGAGATCGGAAGAGTGTATTTGGCGATTACCAATATATCGGAATTCTCTGATCTAATCTGGCTAGCGATTGCGGTAGATGTTGAGCACGGCGTTACCACACGTGATCTGGTGCGGATGCCTGACCGAGCGCCTTCAGCTAGATGAGTCCACTAAAACATATGGTCAGCACCCAATGTCGAAAACTAACAGGGCTATTTATTTTGGGGACTTATTTACCGCTACAAACGGAAATCCGCCAGACCTCGTAGCTTGCATAATAATCAATTTATATTTTTTTGCGAATATATGACTTATTTGATAATTAAATCTGCCAATATCAAATTGATGCAACTATGGACAAAAAGTTGTATGTTAAACATCAAGCACTAAATAACATTGCGTAACATTTAATTGACAATATTCTGTAGTTATTATCGAAGTGATAGTTTTACACATAGAGTTTCAGTCAAATAAAGTATTTTCACAGTTAAATCTAAAATAATATTAAACAATTTATGTAAAGCTTCTTTGTTCATAAATTTTAATGAATATTAATATTACCAGTAAGTGTTAAATATAAGCATAATTCTATATATTAACAATCCCTATAAGATTAATTACTTAAAACTCTAACTTCTGGAAAGTCATCTTCAATAATTTGTTTTGATACAACACAACTACCCATTTATATGAAATAGTTCCTTCAAAGGGACGTTACTCACTCAAGAAATAAAGTTTGACATTATTTAATTGTATAATTTTTATGCACTTAGCTGAGAACGACAATGAATCGTCTATACTACTGAAAATCGAGGTTACTAAAATTGATACATCTCTGTTCAAGTTTTTGCATTAAATTATCTGTTTGTAATTTACGATATGGTTATTAAAAATGTACTGTCAAATTTAAAAAAATTGACATTGATAAATGCTACTCTAATTGCCAACATAGAAAGATAAAAGGTCCTATGCCATGCTACACACTCACTCAGTCATCATCAACTCCAGCACAAAAATGTATTGATCTGTTATCACAAGATAATAGGCAAAGGAGAGGATTTAATTTCAAGTACAATAGAAAATCTAAACATGAGAGATTTAGAAAAAGATATAGGATGAATACAACTGAGTTTTATTTTGCACCATGTCACCCAACGTCTCTAACCATTTTTTAAGATTATTGCGCGACATCTTTCTGTAATTAAGAAGTCTTCTCTATTTTGCACTACACCTTACACGAATGTTCCCTCTTTGTACATCTTACAAAATTGTGAGATCGTAATAAATTTACAGGTACTCCTACGGCAGGAATTACTTAAACTTATGTCAAGATATAACTATTCACAATTTATTTTCCAACTTATCAGTAGCTTACGGACAGCTCCAAACTAGTAAATTGCTAAAGGGTCTGCTTCTTTGTGTTATATCTGATGTAAATAGCGACTGAATTCATTGGCGAATATTCAACTGAACATACATGCAAATGATTCACTTCATTTATATGAATAGCTCTATCCATACAAATCATCGTAAGCAAATGGTTAGTACTCATGCAGATCTCTTCGACTTAATTATGTACGGTTTAATTATTTGAACGATTGTACATTATAGTAGCAGAAGAATAAACAAACTAAATTATTTTAGAATTGTGGATAGCTTTTTGACCATAATATTCAGATCACCTGTTTTGTTAACATATATAATATTAAAAACTACAAATATAAGTACTTCATGTAGTTATTTGTAATACTATACTTAAATTTGCACATTATGGTTGTGCGCAATTATGAACACTGGCTCTGACTTTCTTTGACGAGCTAAAGTCCTCAGATTTAAATTGCTGAAAATTGTCAAATGATGTAACTCCTAACTGTCTCTGATTGATATTTATTACTTCCAGCCACTCATTCGTCCTATATGTTTTACATCACTACACTTGTAATTACCGGTTATTCTAATAGTATCAAACTCAGAAAACTGAGTGATCCAATCGTTTAGGTTTTAGTAAAGATGCAGAATTAAATCATTCCATTAGTCTTTACCTTCCACTGTCTTCCAAATATTGATATGGCTTTAAGCCTTTTATTTCCCTTAAAGCTTAAATCAAAATTTGCTGCGTAGAATAATACTACTTCTTATGCTATGTTAATCGAGATATACTGATCAGTTTTAATTTTTGTATATGATCATAAACAACAGACTATTTACAAAAAACTGTTATCATCTGTCTTTTGTTCAAGGGAGATGAGATCTCAGGAAGAATCGATGGGAAAATCAAAGTGACACTGATAAGCTCTCCTGTAGCTTAATTGGTTCATATATATAAGGCTGTTTGCAACTGATAGGAAGTCATGCAATAAAAGAATCCATTTTATTCTGAAAACTTTTCTGTATTTCTCCCGTTTAAAACTCATAATTAACTTCATGTAGCATGATCCGCAACTAAATGAAAACCCACTTCCATTTTGTGTTAAAGGACTATCACTACTATTTATCATATAATCAAATAATTCAAATCGAGGTAACATGAAATAGAACAATGTTAACAACTACGAGCTGATTACCGCACGTCATTGAATTACCAACGGAAACTGCCCTGAGACATTATGTTCTTTTAATGACAGTTCTGACTTCTGGTTTAAAATTATTTGTCATTTTTTCTTGTATTGGTATTATTTTAATAGGCGGCTCTGATTTTTTAATTAATCTAGGAAGAAGCTGCGGGAAGCGTAAAAAACTACGTAAATTAAGTACAATATATTTGCAAGCCAAGTCGGAACTTGAAGATCTGAAAAATGAACACGTTCGTGAATATACTTGACAGTAGGATAACTGTGAATGTAAACCTTATGTTTAACTACTCAAATCGAATTACCTAAAATATGACCGCTAGTACGTATATTTATTGTTGTAATCATACACCATAAGAGATCAAACGTGAAGGATGACACAGGTATTCAGTGTTTGACAACGCTTCTACCAGTAACACCTTCTACTATGATTTGTACCCACCGAGAGAAATCAAAAGACAGAGTCGAGGAGATCGGAAGAGTGTATTTGGCGATTACCAATATATCGGAATTCTCTGATCTAATCTGGCTAGCGATTGCGGTAGATGTTGAGCACGGCGTTACCACACGTGATCTGGTGCGGATGCCTGACCGAGCGCCTTCAGCTAGATGAGTCCACTAAAACATATGGTCAGCACCCAATGTCGAAAACTAACAGGGCTATTTATTTTGGGGACTTATTTACCGCTACAAACGGAAATCCGCCAGACCTCGTAGCTTGCATAATAATCAATTTATATTTTTTTGCGAATATATGACTTATTTGATAATTAAATCTGCCAATATCAAATTGATGCAACTATGGACAAAAAGTTGTATGTTAAACATCAAGCACTAAATAACATTGCGTAACATTTAATTGACAATATTCTGTAGTTATTATCGAAGTGATAGTTTTACACATAGAGTTTCAGTCAAATAAAGTATTTTCACAGTTAAATCTAAAATAATATTAAACAATTTATGTAAAGCTTCTTTGTTCATAAATTTTAATGAATATTAATATTACCAGTAAGTGTTAAATATAAGCATAATTCTATATATTAACAATCCCTATAAGATTAATTACTTAAAACTCTAACTTCTGGAAAGTCATCTTCAATAATTTGTTTTGATACAACACAACTACCCATTTTTTAATTAATCTAGGAAGAAGCTGCGGGAAGCGTAAAAAACTACGTAAATTAAGTACAATATATTTGCAAGCCAAGTCGGAACTTGAAGATCTGAAAAATGAACGCGTTCGTGATATGGAAGGCTTAGTAGATAATATACGTCAATTGGAAAGAGAATTGGCTCGTTATACTCTAATCATCGATCGATTTATTCCACAATCATACCAAGTAATTAATGAAAGGAGCTATTTTTCTGCATTTATATTATTTCTCAGATAAACACATTCTATGATAACGAGGCGACGTTAGACCAATTTTGTAATAAAATCTCGGCTTTTATACAAGTCACTACACTATAATTACTGTTTGAGGACTAGCAACATTACCCGTAATTAACTACTATTTGAAACTAATGAAACCAGTCGATCCCCGAGAATTTTCTTGAAACTCGAAACCATTTCAGGAATAATTAGTTAATCATGTATTAATTTGAACAAACAAAATCAACTAACTTATTGATTAGAAAACATTAGTGAATATCTGATATATCAGAACTGATAAATTTTACGCAGAACAACAAGATAGTGGAAGTTAAAATGCTTACATCCAACATGAGTTTTTATGATTAATTTCTAGAAGTTATCTTAACTAGAGCTAATCAAAGTAAAGTGCTAATTATTCTTTAAATGACTGATTCCATGTTAATGCTTTATTTTGATAACGGAATGATGTTTGAATACTAATTAATAAGTATTATCATGGAAGGATACAAAAAGTAATACGTTCTTTATCGTCGCTTAAGTGAAGTCGCTTAAATTCTTTAATTCATCGTCTAGGCATTTTTTCAACTTTTTTAAAACTTACGATGTAAATTAGATATACCATAATGAGTGTATTGCCATTCTCTACACAGTAACTATTGATTGTTTAGTACAAATCGTCAAATGAGCTGTAGATCAAACTTAATATTTGACAGATCTCGTGGCTTACTCTCTTGGATATGGAGACTAGTTTGAAATAATGTAAGGAATTACAGTCAAACACTTAAATTTAAAAAGCCTTAGGCTTTCTAAATCTTAACCACATGTTTACTAATAACCAGAATTTGATTATTTCAAGCTGTATAAACTAAACTAGAGATAAATACAATTGCTTATAAATAAGGCTCTACCACTGGATACGATTAGATTCTTTGTGTATTTTAAAGTCGTTTTAAAATATAATAATAGTACCTAAGTTCTGCTTAGCTTCACTTATTAGTTGTGCATGAGCATCTTAAAGTTTGGAAAGCTTTCTTCACTGATAAAGAGCCGATTCGATGTTCCCAGCGCGTCATGATTCGTCAGCTGTCCTTCAGAAGAAATATCTTACATAAGTATTAGGTTATCTTCAATAACTAAAATATCATATTCTCATATAATTCTGTAAAGTCATAATCATGATTCCAAACAATCAAAGTGTATTTACTGAAAGCCAAAACAGGTTAATAGTCCAAACGACAGTTGAATAACTCATCTTTAGCTTACGAAAAGTACATCTATCTGCAATCAGTAAATCAAAAATTAAAAGTTATACACTTGACAGTACTCTAATTTTAATAATACTCAAAGTAATGTTAGGTTTCTTTGGTGACTCATATTTCAAGAATATGACTACGAATCAATCAAAAATCTGTTAGTTTAGCAACAAATTAGAAACACTTGCATATGTGAAACTAATGTTCTTATAAATTAAAAAACACCATCAGTATTGTAACGGTGGATAATTGAACATTCAAATAATCCGATATAGTAAACTTTAAGTGTTCAGATTAAGGGATCTGAGTAGCGGACCACGATAAATAAAATAAGAAATAGTTATTTAGAAAAAAAATAAATCACATAGAGATAAAATTTCTTGCAGTCATAACAGAACGATGTATATTCCATATGGTAGGAAAAAATCATACTGGAAATGTAACCTATAATTCACCCATGAAAGTTGGATCTACTCGTCGTTCAAATCAGAGACTATAACTGGCAAGTCTGTTTTGAAATGAGTGCAGCCTGCGAGCTTCGCCTGAATATTGCCATCAACTCATTAACATTTTCAACCAAAGTCGAACAGTGGCTACCAGTAGAATCTAAGACGAGCGTTTCGTCCTGTTTGAGACTCGTCAATCGGGTGTGTGTGCACAAGGTAGTGGCTTTCCTGACTCATTAGCTAAGCGGATAATGCGTTTAATGCTTGGAGCGAATTCCACTGGGTTCGAGTCCTGGTTTTAACATCAACACCGTGATTCATGCACATCTAACTGACAAATTCCGAACAGGACGAAATGCGCATCCAGGATCCCACTGCTAGTCTCTACATAGCTTTGCTTGGAAATGTAATCGTCTAGATGTGTAAAACTACTCGCATTATGACATGAGTACATCTAAAAGCAGTAGAAAATGTCATGAGATTTGTTATGTACAATAATAAAAGAAAAGTCTGTCCACTTCATCTCAACCATTGAGGCTTATAAATCTACATTCAAACAGAAACAAAAATAGTTGTGATAAGTCCCTGAGTCCGAAATCAACTCTATATTTAGGCATGTTTTCATATTTAGTTTTCTTTATTCAACTAGAGTACATCACGTATGGGAAGCATTCAAAACAGGATAACTTTTTATCGATGTAGTATGACGAGCGATAGTAGCATACACTGACCAGGTCGAATAATAAGTATTTTGAAATAACATTTCTCAATATTTGTAGTGCTATCACTTGTGACCAAATTAGACGTTATATGAAGCACAAACGAATCACAGAATTCATACTTTGTATTTCAGGCTCTCATTGAACAAAATGTACAGTGGAACGAGGATATAGGTGAATGGCAATTAAAATGCGTAGCGTACACAGGAAATAATATGCGAAAACCTGAAAAGCAAACACCCGAACCTGTAAGTTCCGAACATTTATTTTCCTTTAGCAACCATATCGAACAAGTTAAAAGAACACTGACTTATTGTAAATATCAATTCAGAATAGTAACGAACTGTCACTTACATGCATCTCTCTAATATGAAGGAACATAATTGGTAAATTAATTTACTTCAACTACTTGAAACATACAGTGATGATTAAATCACGTCTATAAGTAAAAATGGAACATACTTATTCTAAAAAAAATTGGAATAATTTCCGTCAAGTAATAAACCTACGCCTGTTTATTGAACTCTCTTCATAAACAAGCAGGACAACTGTATGATTTAATAAAATAGACCTGAAATTGACAACCATCGTACAAGGGACTTCTGACAAGCCAGAATTGTGAATAATGAAACTAAAGATCCAGGGTATACTACATAACTATGTCGTAACACCCCTAATTCTTCCAAACACCCAGGACAAACATTGAGTAACTATTCGGGTTGGCTCTTTCATTATTTAGTCAAACCAATCTGCACAATTCTAAACTGGGAATTATAATGTCCTTACTAGTGACTAGCTTTGAGAAATTCCCGGAGTTCTAGTAAAAGCCTTGACAAGAGGAGCTAAGCCATGTCAGGTGTGTGGGAGGTACCCACTGAAGGCAATAGAAGATGGTCGCGCAATATTGTGGATTGATCAAAGCCAGACTTGCAAAACATTGAATCGAGACTAAGTTGTCTAGAGGTTAAGCGTCCACACATAAGACCGAAGGTCCTGATTTTAATCATGTGTGGTGTGGTTGTGAAGCAACAATAATGAGTCTCACTCTATGACAAAACGGCCGTCCAGTAATTTCACGTTAGTGGCTGTGTGACTTAGATCGGTTCGTGATTTTAATGAAACTAAACAATCCCCATGCTGACATTCTAAGAGCCACAAAACAATTCATCCACTAATTACAATATCATTTAAATATACCCAAAGCTCATTTCAATATATCACAACAATTGTTCATTTTACGAATTCAAAATAACGTCCTTGTTAATCACAAGTCCTTCCACCCAGAATTACCATCTGGTCAAAGTGCAAATAACAAAAACTTGACTTTCAGACCAGTCACAAGATTTTTACTGTAAGTTAGCGCTCTATTCTGCTATTGAACATGATGTTAAAACATACTTCACTGTACCAAAAAAGGAACATTTTACTTGAATGCACTATCTGAATGCTAACGCTCCGTCAATCACTAACCAACAGAAGTCTACGCATTCGAAATGATCATTTCGATTGCGAGCTCCCAATTTCGGGGAAAATTTGACCCATTTTGGGGAAGCCGCTATTAACTGGGGAAATGGCACTAAAACCCCTAAGTTTTCCCAGACTTAGAGAAATTCCCCAATACTTCCCCTTAACCCTGGCAAAGGTCATTTGACTTTATGGGTTTCCCCAAACTTGGGAGATTGGAGACCGTTACAACTGGTCACGTCTCACCACATTTTTAAGTGATGCATTGTTATAATTAATCCTCGAAACTTTTCTTCACATTTGATGCCATAAGACATTCCAATTTTTCTCAGTTCAAACAAACTTACAGTTTTGAAACAACCATGAGTGTTCAACCTGCAGGTTGAACGACTGTCCTGCTTGTATTTTATATATTGAATATACCCCACACCCAAATGCTAACGAACGACAAAGATGAAAAACCTTGAGACCGCAAATATGCCAGTAGATTCGTAAAGCCAGATTTCGAACCAGAAACAGTGTTTGTAGTCCTGTACCTAGCATAAATCTACCAGATTTTCCACACATTGATATCTGGATACAATATCACCTTCCTAAGTTTACCATAACACTATGACACAAAAGCTATGCAGCCTGAAGCTAACTGGCTTCTCTGTGATCACAAATACGTCACGAAACGAAGCACGGAACAGAACACGATACTTGCACTTTTGATTTTCTTAGTAGTTCATTTGACACAAACAAATCATGATCGTCGGAATAAGCTTTGAGACAGAGACGATGGGGGTATGACCTCTCGATAATGTGGTCATTGAGGACAAGTCACCACACTGACATGAGTCAGAATAAACCCATCTTAGGTCTACAACTGCTAATTGCAAGTACTCTTCAGAACCCAGTCAGGTGTACATCGTTGAAATCCTTAATCCCGTGTATTAGTTTGGTCTCAGTAATTTGTTTCGGGCCAACTGAAACATACGGCTTTGTTTGTTCGCAGACAATATGCGGAGACGTGTCGGATAGTACGTAATAGTCACTGGCTGTCAGGAAATAGCGAATCGTTCGAGCAGAACTAAGTAGGGAGCTACCCAAATAAATCGTAAGCATGAGAAATACATACTAACACAAAACAGCTAAATATTGCACTGACAGCGCGTGGACCCAAAACCGTGCAACTTGCAACCCCTCCCACACCTTTGGAAACACAAACGAGCTGCGTACTGTCAACAAGCGCTCTAACAAGATCACATCAGACCCGTGTCACAATCAATATAGGTACGTTAGCATCCCAAACCCTCGAGTACTACAGCGACTCCTAACTGACTGCTAGGGCCAAATCAAGCTGATTATCTAGGCAGGAGTCAGAATCCACTTTCTGGAATTTTCGTCGTCCCTTCATTTTATATAACTTCTAGTATTCCTAATAAACTCAAACATAACACTGCTTCCTGATTTTTTGTTTGCAGCCGATCGATCTCGCACACGTGTACTTGAAATATACGGACGTATCGAATTCAGAACCGGGCCACAAGAAAACTAAACCAACTAGAAAATAAAACCTCTTCCCTAACAGCCGGTCTTTATCATTATGCATACACACTACTTCATACGAATGTCACCCCAGCCCGTGAAGTGTATGTGGAAGTAACCCGTAACTTTCATACCATGCAAGCTAGAGAGGACGAAGACCCGATAAACCAAAAGTACCCTAATGCGGTGATATATACAATATAGCAGGATTTGACGCATTGGCTAGATGGTGTTAAGACAAGCGAGAAACTGCTACGTCTCAAACTAATTCATACATGACTAACTGTGAGCTGAAAAGCATCAAGTGACTACTTTGAGCATGGCCACTGCGACACAATTCGACGTGCTCTAGGACCGATTGATAAACAACCAAACAGGCACGCAGATTCGGGAAATTATATTCTACTTACTACAGGACGTCTAACCGGCAAAAACTAGTCAGTGTTACAAACGCAGTGCATGAGCTAGTCCTACAGCGGAGTCAAACTCATAAACAAACCAGCCCACTGTCTAGATAAGGGCAAACGAACTTCATATGATAGCCAACGCGCAACCACTTAACACGTGTGGTCGTCGTGAAAAAAAGCATTTATTTTAAGCACATTTATTTTAAGACATAACAGGACGAGTCAGAAGTATTTCCTTTTCGCGTCTTCTATTGGTAGCCATCTGAAATTTGAAAAATATTGACTAGTTAATCAAGTAAGAGTACTCTATGATCAGATGAATTACTGTCATCATTTGTTCAGACGGTAATTCCATAAAACATCACTAAACAAAACTCACCTAAAGTAGATTTTGCGATATTATTTGACACCATGCACGACAAATGACCAAGTACTAAGCGCATAAAAAGTAATCATCGATGAGTCCGGATGTTAGGTAAAATTCATTTCTGACAGCACAACCTGTAACATAAAGAATTCTAATCAGTCGAGTACGGAGCAACCAATTAAATCCAGTTAAATGTTTGTCACCATTTAGTCAGACGGTAACTCCATTACCATCACAAAACAGACTTACCGTATAATAGTCAACTATCTCCAACAGTTCTTTTCGACATGACAGAATCCAATTGTAATGGTCATTACGTTGAAGGATCAGCTACACGAGTTTCCTCAGTGCTAGATACGTAGATAAAATAATTTGTCAGTTATCAGCTCTCATAATCGATATCATATCAGGAAAACCAATAACTAACTGTGAACGCTGGACAAACATGAGTTTGGCTGCTTGTGAACAGTAACTCATTGCGTCACTGGAGGCCAAATGTTACGTTGATAACCCATTCGAAGACCACTAGGATTAGTACAAGTGAGGAAGTCTAACCCCAATAACCTTCGACAGCTTATCAACACAACATTTGTACTTACTCACAGTTGGCTAGTAGCCCTCGTTCGTCTCATCGCTCGTTTGTCATCACACTTACCATAGCGTGGCAGAAGTGACCAACACGGCGACACACTCAAACACTAATTGTCCAGTCAAACAAAGAACCTTCATTTTCCAATCTTTATTGAACGACTCCTAACACTTATTCTATAACAATCAAGCAGTTGTCTTCATAGTAAATCGAAGACTTAATCTAACAAACCCCTATTCCGTGCTGCGTTTATGGACTTTTAGGATTGCCCATCCATCACTTTCATAAATTTCTTTCCGGTTTGGGAAGGACAAAAGACTGAGTGATGGCCTTAGTCTTGCCGTTGCAGGTTTATTAGTTGATCAGACTTTCTTTTCAGTGCCTCAATAGAAGCAGATCCAATTAACTGCTGAAGCAAGAAGCTCCAATTGTTGACGATTTGTTGGTAAAGCAGATAATCAGATGACCAGCAATTTGTTCTGCGCCTTTGAAATCTCTGAAAGAGATTTCTTAAATTCTCTTGTTCGGAAGACAGGAAAATTTGAAAAAATCAGACGCAAAATTGTTCTCAGTAATTTAAATACTGTGATTAATGCAACTCTAATCCTTGTATCACAAGCTGAATAGTTTTAATTTAACAGATCTCCTGTTATAAGGTAGCTCCATTATTCGGATAGCCAACTTAGATGCTGTTTTCCGAACTCTTTACATCAACTAAGTCTTCTTTAGGAATGCTCAAGCCGTCTTTACACCCCACTTTAGTACGTATTTTACACCACATACAATGTTAACGTCTATAGTGCCCCGTGGCTATAAAACGTTTCCAATTCTCGACTGACGACCCCTTGATAAGTTTGTGTCTGGAAAACGAGCGGCTGAACACTATTCATTGTGCATATATCTGTACCTTAAGAACAATTATCCACCACAATGCACTTAGAATTTAAGTTCTAAGCTATTTACATATTTCCATAGGTCATTCTGAAGCTCTGGACTTTCACCTTCATTTATTATCGCTCTCTATACCTTAACATCATAAACAGATAAGAAAACTGATGGTGATGAGAAAGTTATTCGCACTTGATAGTAATAGCGATTGTCGCCGAATTGTATCCTATAACACTGCACTAAACACAGCCTCTCACAAGACAATATTAGACTAACATTTGCTCTCTGTTGCTTTCAACTAGGAAATAGTTCATCTGCAAGATTATGGTCTAGTTCGATATTAGTACTGCTCTAATGATAGAAGTAATTCCGAAATTGTAAACTTGTCATGATTTGACTATCTAATCCATGGGATCTTACGTGAAAGTCACATCACTGTCTACACTGAATAGTCGTATCATGACAATCAGCACCATGATATTTAGCATTTATAAAAAACATATCTTGGCTGGTGAGATAATAATATATTTAGTGTGGAAATATATGTGTTACATAAAAATGACTATGCACGCAAATTAAGCCACGCCAGGCCCACTATTTGTTGAACAAATGTTTTGAAGCACGAAGGTAGACCAGTTATCTGTGTTTCATACAAGCATACTGTTACTGAACAAGGTCATTCACTAACTCACCGAGAAGCATTAGCTGTGTTTTGGGCTGTTAAAAGACTTCATAAATATTTATTTGGGAAGAAATTCACTATTGTTACTGATCATGAAGCACGTTCCTCAGCTGCTATGGTTCAACAACGAAGTATTGCCCTGAGTGCCTATGACTACATTTCTCGACAATCATTACAAGATAGATCTGTTAATACTCCAGATTGTTTTTTGGTGCAACCTTTTTCAGTGAGGCGTCCAGTTCTCATTAGAGAAACTCGTATATACTTTGGTTGTATACTCAGTGCTATACGGAAAGGCTGGAATGTTAATCTGAAACGTAGATCGCCTGTCTATTTTTCAAAGCAAGATGATCTATCCACTACTCCTGGGGATATTTAGTGTTTAAATGAACGTCTGATTATCCCTCTTTCATTACGTAAATCTTTTCTTGGAGATCTTCATAGTGAACATTTAGGTGTTGAGAAAATTAGGTCTTTGACAAGGCACACATGTTGGTGACCGGAGATAATTTCAGATATATATCGTACAGCGAACAACTGTAGAAAATGTCATAAGTCAAAATTGTTTGGATAGTCGGAAAAATATACCAATAATTGTCGTGTTAAGTCTATGGTGGCCTTGGACCTTAAATGTACATTTCTTATTGGTCGATGTTTATTTCACTTGTTAAATATTTTGTAAATGTTGTTTCCTATTTTATGGTACGATGTGGTGTGCTTGATTGGTATATAAACAAAGTATGTCCGAAATACAATGATTCATAACTCAGAGGCTGTGACTTGCGTTCTTGACTCAACTGGCTGGGACAGACTGCGAAGCGGGACCAATCAGGGCACTAGGTCGTTCATACGTGTTTTCCGTGTCACTGTACTGCGATCGATCAATAAAACGTTGCTTATCAAAACCTGCAAGTCACACACGTTACAACAAAAATGTCAGCCTCCGAAGTTTACTCCATGGCCAGTATCATCTGAGGCCTGGCAGAGAATTCGTGCAGACTATCGTGATCCATTTCTTAACAAATACTATGGACTTGTAGTCATTGCTTCTTTTTCAAAGTGACCTGAAGTTTTTTCCACAACTTCACCAAATTCTGACTTCACAATTCAAGCAATAATAAGGGTATTTAGTCGGAAAGGCGTTCTTATGGTATTATTGGCCGATAATAGCTCTCATTTTGCTGCAGACTCACTCAATATCTGGTTGAATGGTATGGGGTGCAAGCATCTGTTCACAGCTCCCAGGCACTCTTGTTCTAATGGTCATGCGGAAAGTTTCGTCAGGACATTGTAAACTGCCATCGGTTCTACTGCGGATTCAACATTTAATGAACTGGAGAGTGAGCAAACACATTTCTACTGCAATATAGAAATGCCAAAAATTCTGAGACGAAAGAGACTCCATCCAAGCAATTAAAAGGAAGAATTTTTCGTTCTAATGTGAAGTGTTTGGAGTCTGCAGTAGTTGCATTTTATCGTGGAAATGATCGTTAACTAGCCACTGAAATTGTGGTGAACACTGTTGAGAAATCCATCAGTCGAATTCTAGATATCAACGATTTAAGTACACAAAAGCGATATGTTGATCAGATACAATTCCACAAACCAGGTGATTTTGTCCCAATTTTCGTTGTTAATTCTAATACTAATGAGTACATTCTAGATTATACAGAGTCCTTATCCAATACACAGGATGAACTGGTGAAGAAGACGTACAATCGACTACAGAAACTTAGACTTTAATATAAGCTGTAGCGGATGTGGTGTTTGCATGAACTAATGATTTCTTTGTACTTGGTGAATACTTGATTTCGAATTCCAAATGCAATACATTCGTCCATATCCATGAAGTTCTTCTTGATTAAATTGTGTTATTCTTGGATTTCTTGTTTATACTATAATTCAAATAATCACATTGTTGTAATTTGTTAATCAGAGATGATAAATCTTCAGCCGTAAATTTCTCATCAATGAGCGTGGAACGTCTACACTATTTCTAGAAATTTTAATTATGCTTCAGGGTCAGCTTTCTATATTAAAGACTGCAAATGTACCTAATGAAGTGATTGGTAACTTGCTAACTACGGAACCGAAGTGTGGAAAA